TAAATAAATAAATAAAATCTTAAAAAAAAAAGTTTCCAGTCTAGGGGGTGCCCGGCTGGCTCAATTGATACGGCCTGCAACTCTTGATCTCAGGGTTGTAAGTTCAAGCCCTATGTTGAGTGTAGAGATTACCTAAAAATAATAATCTTAAAAAATAGTAAATTAAAAATAAATAAATAAAAGTTTCCTGTCTGGTAGGAGAGGCAGAGGACAAGACCAATGGCTCAAATCACTGTTTAATTACGAACCAGAGGTAGTGTGTGGCAAGGGTGACAGCACCTACATTGAATGAAGTAGGGTCCTGGAAGCCTCCTTCTGGGTGAAGTCTTACCCAGTTAGTTGCCAAAGTCCGCGGGGAGCTGGGGCAGGAACCATTTATCAACGGGTCTGGAGGCATTTCAGTATTTTAACCACCAGAACTACTAGTTGTCTCTCCCGAATGCAGCACTCCAAGAGTACATCACAAGGAGGCCTGACCTCACCCGAGCAGTGTGGGAAGGCTTCCCAGAGATGATACTTGCCCTAAAAGATGAAATGTTAACCTAGCAAAAGGTTTGAAGTAGGTAAGGGTGAACAAGAAGATACAGCAAAGAGCCCTGTAGTCAAATGATTATAGCCCTGTGGTCAAATGATTATAATGGTAATATTAGCATCATAGGGAGTTGATAGGAAGCATGGATAATTGAGCAAAAACATTCACAAGTGCTGTGGGGCAACATGAATTACCCCCATTTTATACACGAGGACATGAAGTTTTCAATAGGATAAGTGAATTTCATAAGTAACAAAGTTCAAATCCTAACCCTGCTAAGAGTTAGAATCACATGTGTGTAAAGCTCTTAGACCACTCCTAGCACATAGTAGGTGCTCAGTAATGTTAGTGGTTTCTGAGTCCCTTTTGATTAATGTCAACATTTCATTAATGTCAATTAGTTGTCAGCATTACCTAAAGGCCACTTTGGTTGGGGGAGGGTATTAGAGTGGGGGATGAGACAAGTAGACAGCCAAGTCAAGAAGAGCCTAAGTGCGAGACTAGAGTTTGGACCTGATTCTGGGGACACAGGGCATCCCCTAAGTTTTCTGAGCAAAAGCCTCCAAAATAGGGGCGCCTGGGTGGCTCAGTCGTTAGGCGTCTGCCTTCAGCTCAGGTCATGATCCCAGGGTCCTGGGATCGAGCCCCGCATCGGGCTCCCTGCTCGGCGGGAGGCCTGCTTCTCCCTCTCCCACTCCCCCTGCTTGTGTTCCCTCTCTCGCTGTGTCTTTCTCTGTCAAATAAATAAATAAAATCTTTAAAAAAAAAAAAAAAAAAAAGAGCCTCCAAAATAAAACTCATTTCCCTCCCGGGATCTGCTCCCAAAGAGATGGGAAAGGGGCACGTGATCTGCTTAGAGTCTACTTTCCTCCCTCAGGACAGGGCTAGCCAAGGTTATCAGGGTCAGATTAAGCCTTGACTGCAAAAGGCCGGAGAGTAATAAGAAAAATGGTTTCTACCCATAAGGAGAAATAGAGGTGGAGACTTTAATATGTGTCTTTAAGCAACTGTTTTAACATGGAGGTGATCTCATTATCACAGGTAGAAATTGTGAATCCCCTCTCCAAAAACAAAACAGAACAAAAACTATGACGTCAAGGCCTAAGTTTTCCACATGTATGACAAGTTTACGGGACGAAAAAAACGGTGTTGGAAGGTCTCAGCTGCCTTAGGGACCTGACCAGCTCAAGGGGGAGACAACTACAAAAATAAATTCTAATATGGAGTGTTTTGTGCTGAGATAGATTCTATATCCACAGGGAAGGGGGATTCAGATTAGGGAATGGCTTCTAATCCTGCCTAGAGTAGAGGCAAAGAAGCCTTTCTGGAAGAGGTGAGAACTGGAGGACAGTCTGGAAAGAAGGAGGCTGTTCCAGGCAGAGAACAGCATGTGCAAAGACTCAGAGTAAGCAATCATCAGCTCCAGTAAGCCAGCCTCTGTACCCTTTCTGCAATGCTGAGACCTCAGGATGAACCAAAGCTCATAGAGCACAGGTAGGTTATAAGGCCTGAAATACCAGGATTTATGCACAGCCCTCTTGGTATATTTCACAGTTAAGTTTTAAAAATAAAAAATAACCAAGTGCAATGCGTGGTTCTGGAATGGATACCAGACCAGAAAATATGTTTATCTTCCTCGATAAAGACATTTTGCAGCAACTGGCAAAATCTAAATAAGGTCTATATATTAGATAAGGAAGTAAACGAATGTTCATTTCCTGATTATTATTATGATGTACTGTAGTTATGTTAAGAAAATGTTCTTAGGAAATACACACTGAAAGATTTAAGGGTAAAGAGACATCATCTCTGTAACTTACTCTCGAATGATTCAGAAAAAAACAATGTAGAGAGAGGATGACAAAACACATGGCAAAATGTTAGCATTTGAGGAATCTGAGTGGTAGGTATTTTGGAATTCTTTGTACTATTCTTGCAACTTTTCTGTATATCTGAAATTTTACATAAAAAATTTAAGAAATCAATAAAGCTAAACAGAAGGAAGAAAGGAGAGAAGGCAGAAAGGAGGGAAGAAAGGGATAGAGGGGGTAGGCTGGAAGAAGGTAATTAGGGAAAGAAACAAGGAAGGCAGGAAAATTGTACTCCAGGCTGCAAAGGGCAGCAGATAATTTCAAGCTCCAGCAGAACAACAAACAAAACACACACAAACACACACACCAAAAATAAACAGGTGCAGGTGGGACCAAGAAGAGATAGCAGACTACTTTGGCTTCACAGAACAGATTCCAACTCAAAACTCCTTTGCCTCTGGCTATGTGGCCTTGGGTCAGTTATGGGACCTCTGAGTCTTAGTTCCCTTCCGGGTAATCATGGTAATCAGGGCCTCACTTTGGGGTTGCTAGGAAGCTTCTCCAACAGGAACAACAAAGCAGCTGCCATTTACCCAATGCTTGCTACCCACAAGCACTCTCCCACATGCTTCACATGCCTTGAATCATTTGATCCACAAACCAGCCTTAGAAGGTTGATTATTATCCTGTTACACGCTTGGGCAAACTGAGGCACCGAGAGGATATGGAGCACCCCCAAGGTCACAAGTTATGAGTGGGTGAAGACAGGGCAGACACCCAGTTGCACTGCAGTCATCAAGAACCAGGTGCAGGCCTTGAACACAGTATCATTCAAGAAGTTGGCTGGAAAACCAGAGGGACTGAGGGTGGGAAGAGACCCTGTCCAGCTGGCACTGTCCTCCTCCCCCCCCACCAAACAGCTATGGACCGGTCCCTGCAAGATCCCTTCCGCAGGCCTTTGGGGTGGCAGATGCCAAAGCCACCCCCATCCGCTCTCCCTAACAAGGACCAAGGGGACCCCAACATGATGTGGGGGCCGGTGATGAACACACCAGATACTATTGTTGCTACAGTTGGCATCATCAGCCCAGCTACTGGGAAACCCCTGGGAGATCACTGCCCTGCCCTTCCTTTTTTTTAATTAAACATGAATAAATATCGTATGTCAACATCACTACCAGCCCCCAGGCATTAACACTGTATTGACTAATGGCTTTTGTTATCACAATGCCATCCAGGACGTGTGAGGGCTTCTGCATGCACACATCATGCCCTTGAACCCTGATAGCAGCCCGAGGTAGTAGTCAGGATTTACGGTCCTTACCTGTTAGAGATGCAAATCTCCCCGGCTAAAGCCCCAGGCAACTGGAAGATTGCCTCAGAAAAGGCCTACAAGGTCTAACCTCATCCCCAAGATCAGAATGTTCACATACTCCCCTTGCCATTGTGCCTGGGATCGTGGAGATCCAAACATAACCCTCCATCTTTAGCTTATTAAACAAACAGCTGCCCCGACAGCCCCTCCAAAGCCAACCCCCAGCCTGCCCCACAGACTGGGCCAACCCAAGAGCCCCTCACCTGGTGGGATAGTCCACCTCCTCTCTTGGGGTTTCGAGACCGGGTCTGCTTATTTTGCTTCATCCTGTCCTGGTATTTGGTACAGCAATGTATACAAGATGGCTTAACAGGGAAGCCGAGGCCCCTGGGGCCCCAACACCTCAGAGGAGTGCCAGCCCACTTGTTAATTGCCAACGGTCTCACCATGGCAACACTTCTCATCCTCCACTCCAACATTTACCTTAATAAGGCATACAACTCTAGTCTTGGAGGTGGCCAGGATTAGAGCCTTTCTTAACATTTGAAGAAACTGAGAGGCTCACACAGTTGCCACATCCAATTGAACTCCAACTGATCCATTGCATGTGCGTCCTTTTTCCACACCATTTTCCCTCCACATGCACCAGCTGACCAAAATGAACCTCTGGAGAGGCATGGAGATCTTCATTGGCTCCTGGTCCCTGACCAATAGCTAGATCTAGTGATGGGACTATGGCAGGATGGGCTGGGGGATTGGGACACCGGGCTAGCTGGCCCAGGTAAACTGCAGAGCAATGGGTACAGGCTCCACCCCAAGAGCTGTGGCCACAGGCAGTTAGGTTGGAATCATGGGGCCATTCGCAACCGGTCCAGTTACTGGACTGAAACAGACAACTTGGGAGCAGTGCAACCAGGTGCAAGGGAATCCAACAAAGGCATGGACAACTGGGACAAGCAGCCCTGGGATTCTTGAGTCAATCACCTTGATCAGCTCCCCAAGAGCATGTCAGATGGCTTTTCCAGACCTCAAGCCTTTAAATGAACTCAAAGGCTCCAGGCCCTTGTTTTGAGAACCAAGGTTTAGAAACTCATTCACCAGCCCAGTGTGGTCCCTGGACCAGCAGCATAGAATTCTCGGGCTCTACTTGAGACAGTGAATCAATCAGAAACTCAAGTTGGCGCCCAGAAATCTCCACTTTAATGAACCTCACAGGGGAGGCTGGTACCTTGGAGTTTGGGGACCAGTGTTCTAGACCACTCCATGGGGTCACACTGGTATTCCTGCACTGTGCTTGCTGCATAAACCAATGACCAACTGGAACTCCCACCACTCCGCTTTAACCAGGCCCTCCCAAAGTCCCACCCATCTGACCTGCAAAGAAGGAAAGGGACACCAGACTGTTAGAGAAATACTGATTTTAATTCAACATAAGGTAAACTCTAGGCATCTGTCATCTTTCAGCCTAAAAATTAGCAAAACTGTTGAAACAAGGCACAATTTTTCCCCATGCTTGTTACGTGGCTCCAGTTACAAAAAAAAAAAATTTATGAAAATGTTAAAACATAAAAATAGAAGTCTGTGATTAAAAAAAAAGTGTATAAAAAATTCCCACAAAACCTGTCAACGTTGTTCCTGATTCTACAAAATAGCACCAATAAGAAGAGTAAAAGTTGTTAAAAACCATTAGGACAGCATTTCTGAAATGCAGCTTTCCCGACCTCCCGTTCCCCGTAAAAACTTCTCGTGGGATACAAAAGGACTTTAAAATCTCTGGAGGGAGGGTCGAGCTTTTTATTGCAGTTTTCCCCCTGCAATCTCTTAGATGAGGGGAAAGGGCGGGGAATGTGCGTCTGCCCTGCTGTCACTGCTATTCAGTTTAGGAAAAGGCTGAGGATTCGGGGTGTCCTCTCATGTGGGGACCTGTGCCTGCAGAGTAGTCTGGAGGGTGCATTTTGGGGGTGGAGGGGGATGCCTTCCCTAAGCCTCCTCCTCTGCTCCCTTGACATGGGGAAGAGGGAGACTGAGAGAAGCCACACCTGTCTGCATAATATCCAGCAGCGGATAACCCAGCCCACCCCTTCCTGAGCTCCCCTGAGGGTTCTATTGCAGTCACTGGGAGGGCATTTAGCTAAGGGTAGCTGTCCCCTTGGGTTTGTTTGGGGAGGGGGGGAGGAATAGCCCTGAATGTGATGATGAGGTCATCCCTGCTGAAATCATCATCATTATGGAAAATACTCTACACGGACACCGACAGCAGGTCCCAGCCCTTTACACTGAGGCCAGGGGAACGTGCTGGGTAAAATTCAAGAAAGACAGGCATCCTTTCCTCTTCTGCTAGCCCCAGAGAAAAAAAACACCCAGGGCTCTTAAAATGTCCCTTAGCTACATGTCTACCACTGCATGCTCCTGGAAATGAGGGGCTGCAGATGTTAAAAAAAAAAAAAAAAAAAAAATTAAAGTCTTGCAATAACTGTCTTGGGTGATTTTTCAGCTTTAACCTGAGTATTAGAGAGCTGTCGGCACTGTGGTTTTGGTATCTTAGCCATTGTTTCTCTGAGGAGTAAACCCAGGAGGGAAAAAAAAGCCATCTTACTACCTACTTCAAGTTTTAAGTTTTCAGAGAAGACAAAATGAGCACCGTCTTTGGCCGCTCCTAGCGGCCAGGTCTGAATTGTGCACAAGGAGGTGGCACCTTGGGCTCCCCCTGCCAGGAGTGGGTCACACTCAGCTCTACTCCTGCCAAGGTTATGTGGCATGACCCCACAATGCTGGGCAGAGGAAGGGCAGAGCTGGGGCTGTACCTACTGGGTCCTGGCTCTGCCCCACATGCCCCAGTGCTCCTGGGCTCAGGGTGCCTGGGAGGGCTATTCACAGGCAAAGTAGTCCTTCAGGGGGGCGAAGAGGTGTCGGATGACAGGCACACTCCAGGACCTCCCAAGCAGCTTCTGGCGGGCACCACGGCCCATGTTGGACACATCCGTGTAGTGTACAGGAAAGCCGAAGATCCTGGGGGGGGCAGGGGCACCAGAATAAAAAGACAGGGAGTCAGAAATGCCCCTTCCAGCATGCTTACTACTTCTGGGAGATCCTCACACGAAGAGCATGGTACTGCTGTTTCTGCCCTTTGTCCCATCCTTTCCATCAGGCCGACCGGGCCTTCACATGAGCCCTCGTTGAACCCCAGAGGCCAGATCAACCGGTTCTACAGAACACAAATAACGGTCCAGAGGGCACGGTTCCTCTAGAAGGAGGCCTGTTGCGTGCATCCCTAAGCACTAGCGCTGTGCTCCAGGCACATAGCTGGTGCTCAGTGGACCTTTCCCATGTGAATGAATGAATGAATGAATGAATGAATGAATGAATGCCAAGAGAGCCAGACAGCAAGCAAACAGACATGTATCTGCCTTCAAATCACAAGAGGAGGAAAGGGAAATTTCCTTAATAAGAATTAAGGACACTTGCAGAAATAGATCATCAGATGCTCAGATAATTAACCATAAGTACATGGAAGTATCCTGCATTTTCTCTCCCTCTTAAAAAAAACCAGTTGTTAGATCAAGGGCCAAGCTGGACTTAATGGCAGATGGCAACCAAATATACCAAGAGCTTCCTCTAGGAGATTCTACCAGGCCTGGGAAGAGGCTACAGATACACTAGACCTCAGTCTTTCCTGGGCTTACAATCTAATACTAAAAAGCACACCAATGGGTGTTAAGCAATGTGCCAAAGATGTAACACTGTAGGCCTATATAGTGCCTTTATAAGTGCCTGTACCCACATATATAGGCACCTACCTAGTATCATCTGCATCCATCTAGTATCACAGGGCCAGCTCAGCATGTAAGGCTTAGCTCTCAAAATACAAAATAACCCACAGATGAATGGGCAAGGTTACCAGCCAGTTTCTTTCTCTATGAATCAGAACTTAATTTTAGGCTAAGAAAACGATTGGTAAAGAAATAAAACCAGTTGTAGGACTGAAATATCTGAAATGAAAATACTCTTATCAAATCCTGAGATGCAGCCAAAAATGTAAAGAGGAATATTCATAGCCCTTCCTTCATTTCTAACAATAAGAACAAAATAAACAGGGGAAAAAACAAAAAAACAAAAAACAAAAAGAAACCAGAAAAGGAGAATTGAAATCCAAGAGCTGGTTCTTTGAATCCAAACAGTTAAATGATCAACTTAGCCAAGTAAATGGAAGGAGAAGACAGACTTTGGCTAAGTAGGAACCAGCTTTACTGGCAGAGGGAATCTGAGAAAGACCAATGGCCAAGTCAGTGGGGTTTTCTTTGGCTAGTTCCTCATATGCCCTGGAGGCCCAGCATGCTGGGGCAGTTAAATGCCAGGGCAGCACAGCAGAAACAGAGATGGCGTGGTCTAATGACCTCATGTTTCAGATTCCTTACCACCACCACCCTTCTGCCATTTCTACCAGGAAAATCAGCACTAACTCTGAAAAGGCATCACTCCCAGCCCCACTAACATAGGTCAGTGAGACCATGCAGAAGAATTAAGGCAAACACCTGCCCATTTATGCTGCCTGCCTTGACCACATGTTCTTCCCCTTTCTCTCTGCCTGCATGATTCCCCTCTTCACGTGCAGCCCTGCTCACCTTTCTAGCTCAGTGCACCACAAAACATCTTCTTTGCCATTCATGACAACAGGGAAAAGTTGGTTTTTCCCCTGTCTGATCGAGTTCGACTTGGTGGTTATTGTCTGTACTTTCTTTAACTGGAGAACAAAACGACATCATGGAGTGAGCACAGGATGAAGGGTCTGGGTCAAGTCAAAGCTCATAATCACCTCGGGAAGTTGGAGGAGGGAGGGCAGGCGTGGGAGAGAGGGAGGCAGGGTTGGGCTCACAGAGGGAATGAGAAAAGGAGAGTTGGAAGGTGAGAACATCTTGTGCTTCCCACGAACACCAAGAAGTTAATGAACAGGAAGGACCAGCCTCAGAGAACAACAGATAAAAAAGTGACCATGAATGAGATCACATGGGGGCCGAGAAAACACCAGAGTTACTGATCAAGCAGGATTAAGCAAAAGTAAAAACCCACCCAGATTTTGAGGATGGCCCACTGGATTTTGAATGAATGGAACCTAGCCTGATGTAAACATTAAGTTTGTGGAGATCTCAATATAATTTTAACAGTAGACCATTTTTGTGACAAAACAAAAATTACTCATTTGCTACTGGGAAGATGAGCTGAAATTATCTGTGTCTCTATGGAGTTTGCATTCGCAAACTCGTCACCTTTTCTCATAGTGATTATTTGTGTATCAAGAGCCTCTCCTACTCTGTGCTTTTATTTTAAGATGGGACAGAACAATTAAGTGGGGAAAGAGGCCCAGCACCAGGGAATCATGTGGGGGGGAGGGGCAGGAATAAACTGAACACCAAGGTCAAGTCCTCGCTTGGAGGTCACCAAGTGCGTTTCCAGAGACCATTTGTTAGCACGTCTTACCTTTGCTGTCCTATTGAACTCCAAGCAGTCCTGCAGTTCGAGTTTATCATTCTTTGATGCTACCACGGGCCTGGGAACATCCAAAACCCATTACTTTCTACCAACTATAAAGGGGCCTCGGCTAGGTGCTTCCCAAGGTGGGAATGAGGGCCAAAGACTGCAAAATGTGCTCTGGCAGTGAACTTGTTACAATTAGCTGATAAAAAAAATGAGCCTGGCAAGAACACAAGACTACGTGCCAAAGCCAGAAACAGACTAGCCCCTTGAAGGGGCAGCCCAACGCCCAGGAGCAAATGCTCCCCCTTTCCAAATTTTAGTATTAATCAGAGCCTTCCTGCAGAGAGAGCAGGATGAAGGAAAGCAAACTGGAAGGAGTCAGGAGACCCCTCCAGTCCAGCCCCACTGCTCACTGAGTGACCCTGAGCAAGTCAGGCCACCTCTCTGGGCCTCAGGAGCTTAGATTAGGTCTTTGTGGATCTGCTGCAACTAGCACATGGCACATTAAACCCATGATTTGGTGGCTTACACCAAAGACGACTTGGGATGGTTTCAGGGCTAACAGGAGGTACAGGTAAGAAGGACAGGAGATGGTTGACAATACGAACAATTACCCTTGTAACTTTCACCATTGAAACCTGCAAATGCAGAGAGGCAGAGAGATGCCTGAGAAGGCGGAGGGCTAGACTTGAGGAGTGGTTAAGCGTTCCAGAGGAGAAAACCAGCAAAAGGTCTGAATGCACAGAGCTGATGAACACCACAGCAACCTCTGTGTAAGGAACTTCAAGGCCAAAAGGAAATCAGATGTAGGAATGAATGATGCCCACAAGAGAGGCCACAGAATCACACAAAACATTCCCCTAGATTCTGTCAGAGATTTCCTTGACCTCACCTTCCGGGCTAAATGCCTGCCTACCCCCAATCTTTACTCTTCCATGAATCCAAGGGAGTTGGGACACATTACGGCCACACCTGGTGCTGACTGTAGGACTGAGATCTATATAACCAAGGTGTTAGGTCGGACAGCTGGATTTGGGTCTGTGACTACCAGGTGATGGTTGGGTCACCACCCTTGCAGGGCCCAGCTGTAGACACTGTTATTCTCACAACTCAGACAGAAAGCTCTGGAGGCTCTGCAGACTCTCTCCTTTCATCTGATACCCTACATCTAAGGCATCAGCAAATCCTGTTAGCCCTTCCCTCACATTACCTATAATCTGATCCCTCCTGTTAAGTTCCACAGAACTCTTGAGCTGCCAAGCCCCCAGAGCCACACTTGCATTGTGTTGAGTATGTATGGATGGCACCCTCCTCTGAATGCCCACCCTCACTGGTCTCCCCACTGCTGCCGACATCCTGCTATTGTCTATCCCTTGATGAGCAACTATCATGAACCTGAGATATACCTTTCACCTGCTTGAATGGCTCATGAGTTCCCATGCAATGACTCACAAATGCCACATAATTTGGCCCACATTTCTGAGTCCTTTGCCGTACTGTCCCAGCCATTCTGGCCCCTGGAACCTTGTCTCCGAGCTGCTCTTCCCATGCACTGTTCACCATCACCCCATTCCCTATTCCTTCTGCCTGGAATGTTCATTCTTCCCTCAATTAACTACATGGCCTCATTCCTTCATTTAAGGCCCTGGTGGAATGAGAAGCCTCCCCATCAATTCCTCCAATTCCCCCACCTCCAGCCAGGACGGTGAAATTATTTACTGTCTTCTCTACACATCCCCCATTACATGTCAACTCCACGAGAGCCAAGACTGACATCTAATGTGTTCACCACTGAGCCGGCAGCACGTACAGCAATGCCTGGCACAGTGTGAGAGCTCGAGTGTTGAGTGAAGAGCCCACTTCATCCAGACATGAACATTCTCCATTTCACTGGCTGATTAGCCAAATAAAAATGCAACATACCCAACAGAAATCCTACAAGCTATTCTAGCAACTTCTCCCCTCTGTTCACACTTTGCTAAATGCCTGAAAGTTATGCTTCCAGCACTTCCTTCTAAAAGCGAATTTTTTTTAAGCTTAACTCATTTGCAAGTCTGGGATGTCACATTACCATCATATTTTGTATCTTAATTAGCAGGTTGTTTCCCTGGAAACCACATAGAGGAGATAATGAATCCTCAGCAAAGCCACTTACTTTGTGGCTTTCAACATGAAAAGATTGATAAAAAGTTGGGAAAAGGGGCGCCTGGGTGGCTCAGTTGGTTGGGCGACTGCCTTCAGCTCAGGTCATGATCCTGGAGTCCCGGGATCGAGTCCCGCATCAGGCTCCCTGCTCAGCGGGGAGTCTGCTTCTCCCTCTGACCATCTCCCCTCTCATGCTCTCTCTCAAATAAATAAATAAAATCTTTTAAAAAAAAAAAAGTTGGGAAAAGCCCTTGGTTAAGAAAATCCAAGGGGACAGGTTATCTCAGCTATGCCACTGGGCTGGTCACCACAGGTCTCACGGCCAGGGATCACTTCATCTAACAATCTACTTGCATTTCCCAGTGGGACAGTAACCGGAAGAAGAGGTGGGGTATGCAAGCATCAGCACTGTCTGCTCTGTTCCAGCACGAGGCACTTTGAAGAACCTGGCCCGTGGGCAGAGTAGGAACAAGTCAGAGAAGACTAAGGAATCCTAGCCTCAGATTCCCAGGTCGGGGCTAGCTTCCCAAAAGGCTTCCAACATGACGACAGGGATTGGTCTGAATCCTAAGTGGGGCTGTTTCTCGGCAGAGCCAGTGCTTTCTAGGAGGCATGAATGGGTCTCTGAGTCACAAGAGTTCACAGTTGGGGCTCCCATCATTAGTTATACTTAACTTGGCTGTTACCTGTCCCACCTTGAGCCCCTTTGTTACCTGTTCATTCCAGGCAGGTTGCCCCAGAAGTAGCGGGCCCTGTGAGCAGCAGACACTTTGATGGCATCGATCATCACTGGATTACACTGCAGAGAGAGAGGGACAGAGAGAGAGGGACATGCGGAAGCCAGCCAGAGCGGGGTTTGACCTGGGTAGGTGACAAGGCGCGCCTCCCCCCGCCTCAGCCCGCTATAGAGGAGGCATGGTTCCTGCCAGCAAAAAGACAGACCAATCCCCATCAAGAATCTGGCTGGAAGACACAGCTAGTGCCCTGATATACTAAACGTGGCGAGAGAGACCAGATTGGACCAGCAGGTTCTGAAGGAAGATACACCCTCGGACCTGACAGATAATTACAGAATGTGCTTTGTACAGGTAGGAAACGCAGCTCAAAATTGAAATCGGCCAAGCTGGGAGTCCTGGTTGCAGGAATGCAGTGTTGACAAAACATGGCTTCTGTCACCCATCTGCCAGGTTCGCACAGTATGAGGGAACTAGCCAGTTCTATAACATCTCCAGCAAAACTTAGGTGGTAAAGTTTTGAAGAAAATGATTGAAATGTATAAAAAGCATTTACTATAGTGCTCGATGATAATGCTTCATACTGAACCGACTGTAGTCCCTAAAGCTGCAGTTCTCAGAACAGGGAGGAGAAAAAACTCCCTAGAGTAAACCAAGTTTAGTCAAATCTTCTGAGGCCCCCAAAAGTAGATGAGGATTTCATCGTCTGACTTCAGGGGATTCTGGCTGAGGTTAGAGATCAAATATTTTCCACACACTAAAAAAGAATCGACCCACATGACTCCGTTAGTTTTGGATTTAGCCGTGTCCACTAAGAACTCAGAAATCACTCCCAACCACCTCCCAAGGCCAACAGGGCCTTCCCTCCCATGTTGTCTTGACAATTAGGACCCTAGGTGCCCTCACCTCCAGGAACCGAGAGATGTCCCTCTTGTCGCCAACCTTCATGGCTACCACATTCTCAAACATCCAGAAGAAGGGCCGGTCATCCCCCTCCTTGGGGCGCGTGTAATTCAGCAGGTGGTAGAACTCAAAGAAGAGCCGGCCTGTACCCTCTGAGCCACATAAGAAGATGGCAGAGCCAGGTTCACACCCCTCAGCCCACCCTCCACACTGACACCAGTGGGTTCCCAGTGACTGCCTGCCTACAGCCACACCCTGCAGGCCTTCTACCTGCACTCCTCTGGAATGACTAAGGACACAGGCACAAGCAGGCCAGGATTCAGTACTATCTCTGGGGACAGGACGTACAACGGTAAAGCTGGCCAGAAACAAACAGTCCTCCTCAAGAGCACTCAGGTGACAGAGGGTCTCTTAGGGCCACCAGAAAGAAGGGATGCTCACCGTACAGGCCTTTCCTAGCAGGGTTCACATTTGAGAGATCATTGCATGGGCTTCCACCAATCACCAAGTCGAAGGGGCCCCATTCTTCAATCTGAGGGAAAAACAGTCACTCTTCGTGGGGGTGAGGATGGAGGAATACAGCCTAGGTGCCAGGTAACCCTATCAAGAAAACTGACTTCTAGGGGTGCTTGGCTGGCTCAGTTGGTGGAGCACACACTTCTTGATCTCAGGGTTATGGGTTTAAGCCCCATATCGGGTGTGAGGCCTACTTTAAAGAAAAAAAGAAAACTCACTTCCAGAATCTCACTTGGTCAGTAAAGTTTCCCAACTCCACTTCTGACGCAAGACAACCCAATGCCCCAGGTTCCCTAAGATCTAAATCTTTCTGAATAATCTGCCAACTTGTGGGTCTTCCTACAGCTTGATGCAACCCCAGGTTCGCTCTTCTACCACAGCCCTGGGTACAGGGAAGGGGACCACATGGGCATGAGGATGTGTGGGGCTCAGGGCGTGGAGGAGGAAGTGGGGGTGGGGCAGAGCCCAGAAGGGGTGCAGGCTGCCCTCACATTTCTCTTTGTGATGTTCCTGACGTCATTCACGTATTTGATGTTGCCCTCGTGCTTCACAGTTCCAACAGCGATGGATTCTTCACACACTTCAGAGGCGACGTACTTTTCCACTTTGATGCCCAATTCTTTGAGGACCAAGTACCCTGTAGGGGGCCAGGGGACAGAAAGTGCATCAGGGTTGTCCTCCCAGGGCACCCTCCCTCCAGTGATACTAAGCCACCTCCAGAGCTCCAACCAGACCCAGCAGGGACGTGGTCATCCTCGAGGGAACCCACGCAGATGGCACAGAAACCGAATGCTGGTGACCCCGGGCTCCCTGGATGGCGGAGTTTCATGAAGAAAATATATGGGTAACTGGTAGAGCCCCCCGGCACAATCTACCAGAACGGACAGGCACGTAGCCAAGGCCCCAGCACCTACCACCTAGCACAGTCAAACACAGACACACGGACACAAATCTTCACCAAAACCATGTTTAGAGAAACTCAAGGCTTGGTGGCATGGCCAGGGCTCAATTCTACTAGGTGTGATCTGCGCCAACACAAATAGGTCTTTAAGACCCAAACAGAATGGGGAAAACAAAGCGCGAGTAGTGACCTGGGGGTGTCACTAAAAGCTGTCAGTGATTTCAGAATCTGGACACCGAAGTACACACATTAAGTACAAATGATGCAAAGCGCATAGCAGCTCCTTCCTCTGCTTCGTTCTCTGGGAATACAGAGATGTTCGTAATACATCACAGGCTAGTTTTTTTAATTGAATGAGTTAGATGCTTCCTCTATACCTAAGCAACGGGAGGGATATGGGAGGGAACCAAGACTGGAGGTATTAGGGGCTGCCTACTTCAGCTCCAACAGATCTAGCCTTATGGGAGAGGAAATTTTTCTAAGATATCTGCACATAATAAAAGAATCCAACACAGCTAAGATATACCTGCCTTCAAAGAGGCCCCAAAAGAAGGCCCGGCAGGGGAAATGGTAGAGAGGTTTGAGGAGAGAAACAGGAGCCAGTGGTTTTCTCAGAACAAGTGACCAACAGGTCATCCCAGGGGTCTTTCTTGGCACTGATGACAGGACACCTGGAGCAGGTGAGCGTCCCTAGGTGAACTCCAAACTCACCTGTTGCAATTCCATCAAACAGGGATAAGACTCGAATGGGCCGCCTTCGGGCTGCGGGAATCGCAGGGTATAACTTGGGGGCTTCCTGCCAGGTTAAAGAAGGAGGTCATGGAAGTCACGGTGCAGGGGGTAGGACTCAGCCTCTGGTGGAGGGGAGGGCTGACCTTCCTCTGAGTCACAAACCCTGTGCTCTACAACTTCCTAGCTGGGATCCCCTGGAGAGCTCTAGCACGAACGGCCATTCTACCCTAGACGTGAACACAGATGCGACTCTGATACAGATGCACACACACACAAGAACACATTCCCTACCCCGGAAAGACCTGGAGCCTCCCCTCCCTCCATCAACTGCAGGCAGGAGCCCAGGAAAATCCACTCCCCCCATGATTTAAGAGGAAGTCACAGGCCTCCCTTCCCTCTTCAGTTCCACTAAGGCTAAGGCTTGGTTAGTTCTGTAACCATTTCTTCAGCAGGCCCGTGAAAATCCATATAGTGAGAGGGCATGAAGGAGGGGAGGAGGAACGCTGGAGAAGGCTGACAACTGTACAGAGGACGAGGTCTGAGGCTCTCGGATGCTCATCTGTACAATGGATCTTTTCCATTAACTCTTGCCAACAGACTTCCAGAGCGCTCCAGAGCCCTGAAGCCCTGGGGGTGGGTGGTGCGGGGAGCCGGGGGAAGAAGCCTGTGGCTTACATATTCGAGCCCTGTGTCGCTGGTGAAGAAGGCCTGCAGGCGCACGTTCCAGTCCTTCCGGCGCCGTAGGACGCCATGACAGCGCTGCGGGAGGCACATGTAGCAGCTCCAGGGCTCCTGCAGCTTCGCGTCTGCTGCGGTGCCCGTGCCCACCAGCACCTCCAGGCACTCCACGCAGAAGCACCTGCGCCCACCAGCAACGGAGAAGGACGGCCTCGTCAGCAGGCAGCTCCCCTGCCTTCCCCCACCGGCCCCCTGGAGATGGCAACAGGCTGCCTGGAACCTTCTTGGGCCCCCACTGCTCTTCCCCATGGGCTGGAAGGCACGGTGCCAGGATTTGGGCTGCACTCTTTGGGACCTCTTTGGTGCAGGAGACCGATGCATGCACCGTCAGCCCCCACAGGCTGCTGCACAGCCAAGTTCCCCGGCCCATCTCCAGGGGGCCTTCCCTACCCTCAGGGACCTAGCTTTTTAAAGCCCATCCCTCCACCCCAGTTCTACTTCAAGCACACGGGGACCACGGCCCTGTGGACTCCTGGCCTGGGCTGGGCCCAGCCCGCTGCCGGGGCTCCCTCAGGGCTGCAGGCCTGGCCGCCACCCCCACTCCCCGTTCACGGCCCACAGCCCCCGCTCACCCCCCCCAGCCCAGCTCACGGCCCCCAGCCCCCGCTCACCCACCCACCCCCACTCACTGCCCCCAGCCCCCCCCGGTCCCCGCTCACGGCCCACAGCCCCCGCTCACCCCCCCCAGCCCGGCTCACGGCCCCCAGCCCCCGCTCACCCACCCGCCCCCACTCACTGCCCCCAGCCCCCCCCCGGCCCCCGCTCACCGGCAGCAGCTTGTATTGCTGCAGAGGAGCAGCTCGCGGCCCTCACAGCACACGGTGCAGTAGGACTGATAGCCATCGTCGTCGTACATGTAGAACAGCTCGAGGAAGCGGTCCTGGCAGCCAGACGGAAACGCCAGTGAAATCGGGGACCAGGGACCAGGGACCCCCAGGCCCCCGCCTGTTTGCTGGCTGAGGCCCTAGGAGGCAGCCACAGAAGAGGTCACCGGTGGCTTGGCGCCCTTTCCAGGGCCACCAGCTGGGGTCTGCGTGCCACCGCAGGATGACCCTGCTGCTGCAGCAGCCAACCCTCAGAGGGGACAGCTAGAGCCTTCCCTAGAGTGACACGCAGGTGCTTTTTTCTGGGGGAAGGACAGGGGAGTAGCGGGAAGGGGCAGGAACGCCCAGGGTGGGGATAGGACTTACCCGGCACGTCTGGCAGAGCCCACCCTCAAAGAGAGGGTGGAAGGACACGGGGTTTCTCCGACCACAGGACAAACAGCTATCTATAAGATAGGAATGCAGTTTGCACCAATTACGGCCACAACACCAGGGCTGAAGCCTTGAGTCTAACGGCTTTTGAATAGTTACTCCAGGCTAGCAAAATCACGACTCCTCATGCTTTGTTCCTTTCAGCAATGCTTTGAAGTTGCCAACCCCATTCCAAAGACGGGGAGAGGCCAGAACAGGAGCCCCAAGCAGGCGGTCCCAAAGACAGGCAAAGGCCTGGCCCAGGAGGAACACCTGAGGCAGGACAGGGAGCAAAGTCCACTCCAACACAGGGACTTGCTTGGGTGGGCCTGGTATGAAAATCTTTGAGACTCTTTAAAGACAAACTTGGGTAATCTATGGTGATTCCAATTTGCTTTTGTCTTCATTAAGAGTTGCCTACACCAACCCTAAACATAGCCATGGATACTATTCAGAACACGGGTACCTTCCTTTTGGATATCCTGCCTTGCCGTCACACCAGCAGTCGGGACTGATCCACAGCACTTATCATGTGGGCAGGGCCATTAAGATGCCTAAGACCTGGGAGGCAGGGTGGTGTAGTCGGGTTAAGCATCCGACTCTTCATTTCACATAGTCATCTCTGGGTTATGAGATTGAGCCATGCATTGGGCTCCACTTTTAGCAGGGTCTGCTTGAGATTCCCTCTCCTTTTGCCCCTCCCACCCACTCGCTGGCACGCTCTTATCTCTCTAAAATAAATAAATAAATCTTTAAAAAAAAATGCCTGAGACCAAGCAACCCCAGCCAGGCAACATGGATGGGTGCGGAGTCTTGAGGAATGGGAGGATTATGGGTCAAGGTTTCCAGGATTGACAGGGATTGCTCCAAACCTGAGCTTTCCCCAGGGTGTTCTGGGTCAGGAGCTGTGCTGTTTCCCTACATAGCATTGAGATAACCACTCAATAAATATTTGTTAAATAAAGGACATCAGGCTAAGGAAACAAGAGAGAATCCATTTGTCCTCACACATTCTGAATTCTGTTAGATACATTCTGGGCAGAGTTTCAATTCCAGTGGCTGGCTAATTCCCAGCCAGGATAAACAGACCAGTTGACTTGAGAGTGACCTGGCACCTCGCACCTCAAAGCCTGTTCCAGTTCTTGTCTGGGGAAGGCTCAAGATGCCACAGATAGCGGTTTCAGGTTTGGGGTTCTCTGGGCCAAATTGCCCCAACCCCACCCTCCTTGCTCACTCACAGGGGCAGAATCAGCCTCCATGAAAATCAGGCAACACATTCTATTAAATGTAGCAACAAAGATGAGCCCACCGCAACCCGAGGCCAAGGCACAGGAGCTCTGGGTCAGATTCCAGCAGGGCAGGCAAGCAGGCTAAGGTCAGCCTTGAGCACTGCCCAGGGCGTGAAGGGGAGACAGGGAAAAGCACATTACCTTCCAGGTTACTCTTGTTGTTGCAAACATCCAAAGCCATTTGTTCTGTTGAGAAAAGAGGAAAGTGTGACACGGAGTCAGGGAGCCTCTTCCTCAATCAGCTCTGACACAGTCCCTTGCTGAATGGCCCTTCCTGCCACCCACCCCTGACAGTCCAAAGCTGACAGCGGGTGAGATTGCTCCCCCAGCCTCCTCACTGTCCCATGATCACCTCGACTCTGGTCCTCCTCTCCTCGGTCTTTGCCATTGTTATAGCAGTTGGTCTTTAGGCGCTTGGGTGGGGGGCAGTAGTCTGAGGTGGCCGAGTCGTCAGCTGTGCGTCTTCGAGTCTTGTTCTCTGTGAAAGGTAAGGAGATGGCAGCCGGGGCCAAGATACGGGGAGAAAGGGGCCTGGGACAGAACCATGCAATGCCCGGGTGCCCACCTGCATCTGGGCCATGACATGGGTCCATACTGGGTGTCCTACAGCCCATCTGTGGATAACTTGGACGAAGACAGAATTCAAAATCCCTCACTATGTATTTATCGGGGTTTAAACAGCAATGGGTGCAAGAGAACTCATCCTCATAGACCCAGCACAAGGAAAATTAGACAAAGCTTGGTCTCGGATGCCCACCTCGAGAGCTAATAGCCACATGCAGTGACTGTGCACTTGAGATGTTACTTGTGTAACTGAGTGACTGCTTTTTACACTTAATCTGGATGTACACTCAAAAGCCGCCAGTGGAGCCAATCAACTGTCTCATTTGGAACTTGGGACATCTATAAAAATATAAATCTAATGTTTCTAATGACAACGTAGCGTAAAAATTGAGAGATCATAGGACACGTCAAAATAATAGATTTTGAAAACTGCTCTAAAAGAAAATGTAAAATTCTCATTAATTTTTATACAGATTGTTAGAAATGGTAAAATGCCAGAAATATTGGATTTACACTAATTTCACCCTTTTTTTGTACTTTTTCCAATGTTGCTACTAGACAAAAATTTGTATTATGTGGCCACTGTTTATATATTTCTATAAATTCCTGTTATATTTTCATTCAATCTGTAAATATCATCTATAAGAAACATGGTTAAAGGAAACTATATAGCCATTAGAAATCATAAGGACCCTTTAGTGACAAAATTACATCTGACAGTGCATACACTATTATAATTGAGAAGTGAAGGGAAAGCAAGAATCCAACTAGTGTACAGAAATAATTGGAAGGATGTGCACACCCAACGTTAACCTGGAGGGCAGTTGTGAGGGTTGGGAGTGAAGGGGTGGGTGAGGGCTCAGGTTGACTTTTTAAAAGATTGGATTCTTTCCCAGTGACCACTGTATATGCAAGAAATGGAAAGAAAGTGCAGAGAAAATAGTGCATAGTCAAAATATGGGAAGGGAATACCGTATTTCCTTGATTCTAAGTTCCCACTGCCTGCACGACGCACCTTCGACTTATTAACCACTTATTTGTGGGGGGAGGAAAACAAAACAAAAACAGAAAATACTATGTTAAATATGGATTCTTAAGACAAACCCTGGATTTCAGGCATCTGGAATTTCCGGAGTGACAATGTGGAAACAACACTTATCTTAGAGGAATTATGGTATTGGTCAAACCCTTAGGATGGGAGATACCTCTTTCTGAATGGAGGTGGCTTATGGGGTTGGGGGGCGGTGCGGGGGGGGGGGGTAACACTTTCCAGGTTTTCTCCAGTGAGCATGGCTTAATTATTTTTTCCTTTAAAAAAAGGGCACCAATGAAGATTCCATCTTAGCCTTCTATTTACTCAAGTTTTCACAACAGATTCAATTCCAATTACTTGTACTTGGCCTTCAGCAGGAAAAGTGACTAGGGAAGCTGGAAAAGGCTGGGCTGTTTGCTCTTCCAGCTTCCCTGGGGGTTCACAGGGTGACAGAGCTCCAGGCCTGACAGCTTGCTGGAAGCCAGGGTAGGGTAGGTGGCAGCAGGGGGTGACTACATCTCCCAAGAGGGTCCCCAGCAGCAGTGGACGGTGGGTGCTGCCCAGGGACCCAGTCCCACCTGGTTGCTTGTTGTTTGGTTTGAGGCCCTCAATCCCAGTGGGCTTAAAGCCCCCGTGGGCCCACTCTAACATGGGCTTCAGCTGGTCCTCCAACGAGTCTCCAGGACTGCTGGGGAAGGTTTTGCCAGCCCGCACCCTGGCTTTCTGTGGAGAAAAAGAGGCTATGATCAACAGGAGGGGTGGGTGCTAGCCAGGCCACACCCAGGGACTCCCCCCGCTGGGGCCTGCATTCCTTTTCACACTGGTCCCTTTCACAGCCCAGCAGCTGTCCTGAGCAGTGGTATGTGACAGGGAGGAAGGGCCTGTGTAGGGAGACAGGCAGGAGGCCATGGAGAGGGAAATTAAGTCTCTCCCTGCAGATACCAAATATGATCTCTCCCCTGTAGGGACCTGAGTGCTCAGCTCCCTCTCAAAGGGCAGAGGATCAGCTCTGTCACTTTTAGATATAGAAGAAGCATCAGCCAGCATGTCTCACTGTGTCTGAGAAGCTTCAGATTTCTTGTTTTATTTCCCTAATGAAGTGGGGAAGTATTAAGTCCTATTACAAAGGCACCAGGAAGTTTTACATGTCTAATTAAGCACAAAGCCTGGCTCATAAATGCTGGAACAAGGCCACAGAACATTTCATTTCTAAATCAAAGTAGAAGGAGTGACAGAGCCTGATGGATCCCCCACAGACAAGGAGAGGAGGCAGCTGGCCTCAGGTGTTCTCCAGTCTGGACCTCAAACCACACCACTCAAAGGAAAGAGGCTTTGAGGCTCTACAAAAACTTATTCACAGATATGAAGACTGTCTCCTGCTCCTGAGGGCTCCTCTTCCCTCTGTCAGTAGGCATGGAAGCTGGGGGTAGTCCTGGGAACTCATGGGAAATCTCAAATCCCTCCTTTTCTTTCCCAGTCAATGGGCTACTGTCATGTTTGCATCCACTTCCTTCCTGGTGGCTCTGCCCCCTCCATGCTATTGGGCACACTGTGGCCTGACCTGGCCTTCTAGAAGTCTCTTGCTTTACCTCTGTTTTCGAGGCCAGGCCCTCACCACCCACTACCATGTTACCTCCAACGCATGGTACATGGCCTTCCTGTAAGAGACCAGCTTATTGAAGGTCGCCAGGTTAAAGTGCTGGCTGAACAGCCCCAGGGCCACTAGCTTATCTGCAGATACCTGGAAGAGAAAGCCATCATCAACATCCATTTACAGCTGGTGTCTGGCGTGTCCTGTCTCTCTCCCAGGCTTATTCCTGGGGATCAAGCTATAGACTAAAAAGAAGGGAAGAGAAAAGCAGAAAACAAACGGCAGTACAGCCTCTGACACACCCTACCGCCAGAAGCATGGCGAACACAACACCCCAAATGGGAGAAAGCAGGATACTCCCAAATGGATACAGCCAGATGCAGTCCTGGAGACTCGCTGGAGGACCAGCTGAAGCCCATGTTAGAGAGGGCCCATGGGGGCTTTAAGCCCACTGGGATGGAGGGCCTCAAACCAAGGTTACAGGGTGCATCTGGCTATATCCAAACTATTCTAAGTACAACGGACCCACACTGTCCTTGGTGGGGGGCCCCGTCTCCGTCTTGACATTCACAGTGGATGCTCCAACATTGCTGCTTTCGCACATGTTCTTCCCTCATTCACGACCATGACAAACAGCTATGATACAGCCTTTTATTAACAGAATTAATTTAATGTGCAGGTTTAGAGAATAGTGCTTGGCACAGAGTGTGATTTGTTGCTATGTGCCTTACATCGGGGCTAAATACCTGTAGTCCACAAGTCTCACACCCAAGTCCCCTGGCCGTGCACGAACAAATCAGGCTGCCGGTGGGATGAGATGAAACTGGTGTTCGGGGATTCTGATTAGCCCGGAGAACCATGGGACGTCTCCTTCCCCACACAGTGCATGCTCATTCTCATGCCAACCTCGGTTTTACACCTCTCATCTTGACCTCCCACGAAGGGCTGTTGCCACCATTTATAAGAAACTGGGGATCAGTGTGATTGTAGAGAGAAATGCAGGTGCTCATCCCAGCACCAACTATTCTCGTGCTGTGTGTAGCCCAAGCACAAGGACCTGTGTTGCAATCCCTTACTATGCTAACAGCCCCACACTTCATCTTATTAGCATCAGACCCAGTCTTGCAAAGCTCATTATAGGTCTCATTGGGCCAAAGTAATTACAAACAATCCATGTTTCTTCATTTCACAGAACTCATGGCCCATATCCCTGCAGTTAGATGCTTCAGGGAGAGCAAAGGCCCACATTTGTAATCCTGCTCCCTCTGCTGGCCAAAGAGAGAGTTTCTACATGCATTCTACCTACCAGGGAAGACTCTAGGTCCTATTTATCTTGCCCTCTGGGAATTTCAGTGTGTTTACAGCAAATCCCAAATCATGGGGAGAAAAAAGAACCTCAATTTGAGACCAAATCCCACAGGTGTACTGAATGGTCTTCCATTCCCACATCTGCCTCCATCCCAACCCAGCTTGCTGTTGTTCCTCATCGAACCTCTGGATGTGAAGGTTGGACTAACATTTCGAAAAGAGACCATCACAGGCCAAGATCTCAGAATGTGCCTTTGACAGGATTTAAGAATCAGAACTGCAGGATTCATGCCCAACAAACAGAGCTCTTACCCCATAGACTCTCATCAAGGAGGAACTAAAAATGGTTAACATTAAAAAAAAAAAACAAAAAACACCCCACAAAGATTGGGACACCTGGGTGGCGTAGTCTGTTAAGCATCTAACTTCTTGATTTCAGCTCAGGTCATGATCGCAGGGTCATGAGATTAAGCCCTGTGTCCCGCTCTGCACTCAGCTTCTGTTTCCCCCCTACCCTCCGTCTCAAATAAATAAATCTTTAAAAAAAAAAGGTTAACACCAATAACCAATAAAGCCTGAAATCAGTACTCTGCAGTGGCCCTAGGCCCACCTCTCCTCCCATGCCCCTCCCCACACCTCTCAAAAGCAGAGACCACCCTTCCTATCTCTTCCTGGCTTCTCCAAGGAAAATCTTTGAGGGTGTCTGCCCAGGAATCCATCCTGGTGACTCTGCCTGGAGAAATAAAAACCAACAGAGCACAAGTGCCCACAAATGGCTTCAGAGGACTTTCCAGCTCTTTGTCTCCTATAAGACTAGATAGATTGAGCTCTGGGCCTGTGAGACCCTATATATCTGTTTAAGCCAGTTAACAAGAAATTTTTGTCCTTCCTAGGCACAAGGAGTCAAAGAGCCTCACCCATCTGGAGAAAGCAGTCACAGGCCACTCATATTAAAAAGTCAAGTATGAAAGGAAGTGAAGAAAACACAGGAAATGGGTCTGTGGCGCATGAGAGCCTGCCTAGCCCTGGACTCACCTCAGAGAACTTGCCGTCACCAAACCACTGGACCCACCGCATGCCGGACATGGCCTGGCGCTTGGAGGTGGCCTTCCATGACACCACCATGGCAGGCCACCAGGAGAAGCCCTTGATCTTTCCCCACACAAGGTCCCCTATCCCAAACTCCTTCCCATCCTGGAAAAAAAAAAACACATGGAAAGAATCCCAATGAGACAGATCACCTAGGCCAAGGAAAAATCCTGCCCACCCCATTAACCCCAAGGGCCATTGCCCCAGGGTACAACTTAGGGCATTACTTTAAAAAAAATAAGAAATGTGAGTGAGAACCCCTTGAATATAAGGGGTCAGTTTCGTTTTTTGTTTTTTTTTTAAAGATTTTTTTTTTTTTAATTTATTTGAGACAGAGAGAATGAGAGACAGAGAGCATGAGAGGGAGGAGGGTCAGAGGGAGAAGCAGACAGATTCCCTGCCGAGCAGGGAGCCCGATGCGGGACTCGATCCCGGGACTCCAGGATCATGACCTGAGCCGAAGGCAGTCGCTTAACCAACTGAGCCACCCAGGCGCCCCGTCAGTTTCGTTTTTTGATAGGAACATGGGATTTATTAGATTTGTAAAATTTCACCTGTAACCTTTAACCTCTATCTGGGAATGAAAGATGTCAACTGAAAACTCACAGGAAATAAGATCAGAGTTACCTCATGACAATCACCTGGGTTTTCCCACCACGGGCCTCAAAAACCTAACCATAAAATGTAAAATGCCCATGAAAAAACAAGTTATTCAAATAGATGTACAGGGGCACCTGGGTGGCTCAGTCATTATGCATCTGCCTTCGGCTCAGGTCATGATCCCAGGGTCCTGGGATCGAGCCCCGCATCGGGCTTCCTGCTCTGCAGGAAGCCTGCTTCTCCCTCTTCTACTCCCCCTGCTTGTGTTCCCTCTTTCTTTTTGTCTCTCTCAGTCATATAAATAAATAAAATCTTAAAAAAAAAATAGATGTACAGTCTGATATACATAGAAAGAAAGATTTCTATGCAACAGAATTATACATACATACGTATGTATGCGGCAGTGCTGGAATGAAGCAAGCCCGACCGGCTAATCATGAACAATACAGAAGATGGATCATATAATACAGTGGATAAAAGATGTGAGCGTGAGGCAACTCCAGCTCCCAACAAATAAAGTTAACTAGTCTACAACTGTACATAAAATATGACGAACAGAACCACACCTCGTATTACATATACAAGGTATATATACGAGGTACATATATTTGGAGGTACAAATACTTGACATCTGGAAATTCATTAATCAGGTGTTTGAATTATGTCTGGCAGAGAAGCAGGATAAAGGAGGGACACATTGCATATGGAAAATCCATATGCTAAAGAAATTCAAATATTACAATAGAAGTGGCCCCCACAAAAAGGTGGGAATGGCCCCCGCTGGGTAAGCGTCTGTTCTTCCCTATTATCTAGGCCATTCTTGTGGTACCTGATACTCGGCACTGTCGGCATCTCTACCCTCTGCATCCACCTGTGGGGACTCGAGGCCATCCTGCTGGCTGTCCTGGGCCAAGCGGGTGTAGGGGGTACTGCTGCTCTGGGGCACCACATCGTCATCCGTGAGGTCAATGGTGAGGTAGGGGCTGGCTGGGGACGGCCACGGCGTGCCTGCCAAGGATACTGTCCGCCGCCTCAGGGACTGTGGACAGAAGGACATGGAACTTGGGCCATGGCAAACCAGGTAGGTGACCAGAGACCAGTGGAACCCCCAGTTGCTTCCCAAGCAAGCAGAAACAGTGAAGACATTAAGTTGAAGAGAACAGAGACCACCAAGGACGGTTTTCCGGGAACCAGTATCCCTCAAGTGGTGGGATAAAAAGCAACTTCCATCAGAACAGAGACAGAATCAAGGACAAAGGCAGAATAATGAGGGAGGCCGAGAGGCTCTGAGAGCCAACCTCAGAGAGGGCTGCTGGTTTCCTTAAATGCTTACTGTGTGCCCAGCCTTGCAACAGGAGTGGAGAAAAGCACTGGGGTTGCCTCAAGACAGTCAAAGAAGATACCAGGGAGACAAAACAGTTCTGGAGTCAGTAGTACTCGAACTCATTCCGAGGAGGAGCAAGAACCCAGTCAGCAGGGAATTCACACATTCCCACCCGAGTTCCATCCAGGATCAGGCCAGGAGAGAAGTCATCGGGCTTAAGAGCTTACCCGGCAACCAGGAGAGAGAGGTAAGGGAAGCCCCTGAAAAGGTGATAAGAGTGAAGATTGGATGTAGGTCGCACACCAGCCACTTTGGGTGGCACAGTGAGAGAGACCGATCTTCCACTTAAAGAGACTGGGGGTATCCGGGGAACCAACCCTGGTAGCTGAGAACTCCACGGGGGACTCATCCACGGGATTGCGGCCCTGCCGGCCTCGGGTGGACCGCGGGGAGGACCTGGGTCTCTCCCGGCTGGAGGCACTGGTGTTATTTCGGGTTCGGACCTGGAAGCAAGAGAGGATAAGCACGAGGCCTTTGGTAACTACAGGCATGGCGTTCCAGACAGGGGGCCAAGAGGACTGGTCTTGAGAGGTCGCCTCACATCAATGAAAGTGAACGAGGTGGTTAAGTTAGGGAAGAACTCTGGATGGGTCACGTGGACCCCCCACCCCCACCCTGAAACTCCCCAGTTAGTGGGAGAATGGGGTAGGGTGTCAGCAGGCCTGCCAACAGTCCACAGCAGATCCCACGCTGCCTGGCCGAGGCGGCTGGCACCTGCAGATTGAATGGAAAACTAAAATCCAAACCAAACATTTACCGCCCCCCACAGCGATGGAATAATTGTTGCCTTCTTTAGGAAGGCACTCGATCATCAAGACAGATTAGAAGCCCTTAGGCTCCTTTCTCAAAATGGCTTGAATTTAGGTGTTGTACATCTGTATTCAAATCCTGCACGCAAGAATGACTGTTTATGGGGCACCTGGATGGCCTAGTCAGTTGAGCAGCCAACTGGATTTTTTGGCTCAGGTCATGATCTCAGGGTCCTGGGATCAAGCCCCACATCAGGCTTTCCACTCAACAGGGAGTCTGCTTCAGGATTCTCTCTCCCTCTGCCCCTCCCCGTTTGCTTGTTCTCTAAAATAAATCAATCAATCTTAAAAAAAATTAAAAAGATTTTAAAAAGAACTACTATTTAACCTTGGGTAAGTTATTGGAAATCTTCTCTCATCTGTAAGAAGGGCATGATATACATCATACGCTGGGTGAGATTATAAACTAGCCCTGCAATGGCCATCAAGGGTTCGCCTGCTCTCTAAAGGGCTGAGTGACCATTAGCGAAGACTGCCTTCCTATTTCTAGACCCCACCCTGTAAGTCATAGAAGTGACTCCCAAAGGTAACTGACAGTTGAGCCATCCACCTACAAACTATCTACTCTTAGGCACTTAAAGCCAGGAATGTCCAAGGAGCTAAAAACCTGCCACATGAAAGCAAGCTTTCACAATGATAATTCACGAACCTTGCTGTCATTTTCCGATTTCAAAACATTTGTTCACCTCGCTCTCCAAAGCTCCAAGGAGAAAGGAAGATCCAAGACAGGTTTTTTTTCATTCAGGCCTACGAGTGGTTGGAAGGGCCCTGGCTGAGGGGAGGGGGACTTACAGCTGGGCTTTCAGACCGAGTCCTGGTTTCACGGAAGAGTTTGGGCATCACTGGGGTGTCAGAGCCATCTCCGTCTTCCCCCTCGCCATCTCCATCACCCGTCAGATCCTTTATAAATGAAGCATTAGGAACAGTAAAGGTCATTAAAAGGTCACATAATCAAAACGGTTTAAGAATCAAGATTCAGGGCACCTGGGTGGCTCAGTTGGTTAAGCGACTGCCTTCAGCTCAGGTCATGATCCCAGGGTCCTGGGATCGAGTCCCGCATCGGGCTCCCTGCTCTGCGGGGAGCCTGCTTCTCCCTCTCCCACTCCCCCTGCTTGTGTTCCCTCTCTCGCTGTGTCTCTCTCTGTCAAATAAATAAATAAAACCTTTAAAAAAAAAAAAATCAAGATTCAATCATTTTGGCCCAAGTGACCTCAAAATATTTTCAACTACCACATTTTGCTCAACATACTTTACACAATGGCTTACCATGGGGATCACAAATTCAAGACGTGATTGAAAAATAAAATCCCAGGGGCGCCTGGGTGGCTCAGTCATTAAGTGTCTGCCTCCGGCTCAGGTCATGATCCCAGCATCCTGGGATCAAGCCCCGAATCAGGCTCTCTGCTCCGCAGGAAGCCTACTTCTCCCTCTCCCACTCCCCCTGCTTGTGTTCCCTCTCTCGCTGTGTCTCTCTCTGTCAAATAAATAAATAAAACCTTAAAAAAAAAAAAAAGAATCAAGATTCAATCATTTTGGCCCAAGTGACCTCAAAATATTTTCAACTACCACATTTTGCTCAACATACTTTACACAATGGCTTACCATGGGGATCACAAATTCAAGACGTGATTGAAAAATAAAATCCCAGGGGCGCCTGGGTGGCTCAGTCATTAAGCGTCTGCCTCCGGCTCAGGTCATGATCCCAGCATCCTGGGATCAAGCCCCGAATCAGGCTCTCTGCTCCGCAGGAAGCCTGCTTCTCCCTCTCCCACTCCCCCTGCTTGTGTTCCCTCTCTTGCTGTCTCTCTCTCTGTAAATAAATAAAATCTTAAAAAAAAAAAAGAAAGAAAGAAAGAAAGAAAAATAAAATCCCAGTGAAATCAGGAAGCCCAAGATAGGGTATGAATTCAATATATATCATCAAGACTCCTGTATGTACACCACAGGGAGACTCATTTGGCTATGCCCAGCAGGGAGAGCTGGTCATGTTGCAAAACTGAGTGTCTGGGAGAAATCAAAGGTTCAAGAAAGATGCTTCTTGATACCATTACCAGGAAGAAACAGCACCAATTCTGTGTCAAGTCATGTAGAACCCCCAGTACGTGTCCCATGCCCCAGAGCAAAACGCAAAGAACTGGGCACATAAAGTGGAGCGCTAGTGAGCAGCCCCAAGCCCAGCTGTCGTGTTAAGAACTGGATTTTTCACTTGCCAATCTTGTGGCCTTGAGTGAGTCCATTCCTCTCTTTAGAACTCTAACAGTAATTCCCTTGTAGCACAACAGGGTGATAATGAGAATGAACGATGCATGCCTCGCCCAAGGCCAGGCTCAGAGGAAATGCTCAGTCAGGAGGTTCCATTCCCATTGCTGGTAATGGTCCATCAGAACTCAAACAGCTGTCCGGAGCACATGGTCCCAAATGTCCACACAGCTCTTACTCTAGCCATCTGGGTGCCCACGGGTTGCTCTCCAGCAGAACAGAAGCTGTGCAAATGTGAACTTTCATTTGTCCAGAACTTTGTGCCCCGTGCCTGACACTGGTTCTCCAAAAGAATAACCCAAGTGAAAAAACTCTACTATGATTAATAAGAACACAGAAGGCAGAAATGAGGTCAGGAATAAAAAAAAAAATTATAAAAAACCGTAACTTGGAAAAAAACTTATCAAGTAGAAACCTTGCGGCAAGTATTCAAAGATCTTGCAATGATTGTTTAAAATCCCCTGAAACAAGCCAGGCAAGTTCTTTCCAGCTTGGAAAAAAAAAAAATTTCCTTGAGGCCACATAACCCTGATATCAAAACCGGACAAAGATATATTCCGATAAAATCATGCATCCATTTTATTCATGAACAGATGCTAAAGTAGATCAAATTCAAAACATACCACAACCAAGTTGGGCTCACTCCAGGAATAAAAAAGACAGTTTACTACATTAGAAATTTATCTATGTAACTGATCATCCACTGAGAAAAAGACAATTTCAAAAAATATGCTAAATAAGCATTTAGTGGGGAGTCTGGGTGGCTCAGTCGTTAAGCGTCTGCCTTCGGCTCAGGTCATGGTCCCAGGGTCCTGGGATCGAGCCCTGCATCGGGCTCCCTGCTCAGCAGGAAGCCTGCTTCTCCCTCTCCCACTCCCCCTGCTTGTGTTCCCTCTCTCGTTATGTCTCTCTCTGTCAAATAAATAAAATCTTTAAAATAAATAAATAAATAAATAAGCATTCAGTAAAAAACTTTGTAATTTAATAAATGTTTATGATTTAAGACTTGGCACATAGGGCGCCTGGGTGGCTCAGATGGTTAAGCGTCTGCCTTTGCCTTGGGTCATGATCGCAGGGTCCTGGGATCGAGCCCCACATTGGGCTCCCTGCTCCGCGGGAAGCCTGCTTCTCCCTCTCCCACTCCCCCTGCTTATGTTCCCCCTCTCGTTATGTCTCTCTCTGTCAAATAAATAAAATCTTTAAAATAAATAAATAAATAAGCATTCAGTAAAAAACTTTGTAATTTAGTAAAATAAATGTTTATGATTTTAAGACTTGGCACGTAACAACAAAAAATGCCATCATTCATGAGTTTGTTTGAAGCTCTCTCCGTCCTTAGCAGTGTTGAAATTCAGCATTCAACGAGTACTTATTGGGTACCAGTTTAGAGGAGGCCTCGAGTTCCCCATTTAATGAAAGCTCAAGGGAATTCCCCTGGAACCCTGAAAAAAGGACAGTAGAGCACATACCTGAGTATAGCTTAGCAGACTGGAGACCTCCCTCTTGGACAGCCGTGAGCTTGATCTACGGCCTGGAATAAAGAACCAGAGTCTGTTTGGAGGAAGGGGCAGCCCTCTGGGCTGGGAAGCAGCCGTGTCGTCCTTTGCTGACCTGCTGTCCCTGACGTCTCCTCTCTCTAAACCCATGGGCACCCTCAGGGTTTAACTCCTAGCCCCTCAGGATCTGCGGTCCTGTCAATGTATTCATAAGGCAACAGGGCAGAGCTGGGCATGTAACAGGATCAAATACAATACTGAAGGTACTCATGAGGGAAGGCATCAAATTCCTTCCAGAATTGGGGCCACCAAACTACAACTAATGAACAATCCAGTGCCTGCCGGATCAGCCACATTTCAAGTGCGCACATGTGGTTAATGGCTATTATAGTGAACAATGCAGAAAACAGAACACTTTCACCCTCACAGAAAGTTCTATTAGACAGCACAGCTCGAGAGGATTTCAACAGCAGGGTGGGATAATACAGGGTTTTCCAAACCAGCTGGGTCAGAAAATCTCAGTGGGGAGGACCCCAGGTGATATGATCCAGGACTGCACAGGAGAGGGGTGGGGAAGGGAAGGATGGGAAAGGAAGCAGGCCTCAGACCCTCCCCGCTTGAGTGTCTTCTTCCCACATAATCACAATGCCAGCTGCAAGGGGAGAGGGGTCCCACTGCAAAAGGGCCAAAGACCCCAGCCTATTCTGCAACCACACCCCATCATGGCTGGAAAAGGACAGGTGTCATAACCTTGGGGTTAACTCCTCAGAATCCCAACTGAGGTGGGGGCAGTAGGGGGAGCCAGGGCCCGTGGGCAGGGATGAGAAATGAGCTGGGCTCTGCCTACATCCACTTCCCTTCCCCGAGAGGTATGGCAGAGCCTGTCAGAGACCAGACCCTCTCCCCACAACCTGCCTTGAGCCCGCTCCAAGGCTCATGTCCCAGCTGCTGCTGTCTGCAGTGCCTGTCCCACCCCTCCTCCCCACTGGCCCGGCCACCTCTGATCTCCGGGGTGCTGATAGCCTCCAGGATAGGGGGTGAGGGCGCATCCTTGGAGTCAGAAGACTGGTCGCTGCAGCCCCCATTAGTGATGATGGAGTCTTCCCTCCCGCTGGCGTCCTCCTCTCTGTTGAGTTGTCTGGTGTCTCCCTTCATTGTTTCCTGCAGGAGGGCCAGAATGGGTAGGGTAGCAGGGAAGCAAGGGCACAAGGGGGCAACACACCCCGAACCTCCCGCCAATGGCTCTATGTCCTCAGGCCAACAGAGGCCCCTTGACATTCTCCGGATGATACTCCTGCCCAAGGACCCCACCCAGGCTGCCCCCCATAGCCTGCCCCCCTCACCAAACTCGGAGGCTCAGGACTTGGTTCCATGTGGCCAGGCGGCCCGAAGGCTCAGATACCAGCACCCAGGACAGAGGAGGGGGCTGGGCTGTGGTCTGAGGCTTAGGCTGTTCTGTGCAATTAGCCGGCCACTTCAAACAATGCCATTTAGGACCCGCCTGCCCCGGCCTGCCTGCCGCCAGCCTTGGTCCCCTCTGCCCCTGGCCCCCTCTCCCTGCCCAGCCTCCGCAGGGCCTCAGGAAGCCAGTGCATTATTTTCCCTCCTGACCCCTTTGTTTGCTCTCTCCCTTCCCCTCAATCTCCAGGTCCTCTTCCCACCCGCCCCCTCCTCCCCCACAGAACAGCTTCTCTCCTCTCCATGGCAGCACAAGCCCCGCCCCACCCCAACCTCAGGGGCCCATTGGTCTGCTGGCCTGTCACTCACTCCCCTCCTCCCTCACCAGCTGGGGCTCAGAGTCCCAAGTTCCCAAGAAGGGAAAGGATGGAGGAGCACAGGCAAAGGACTGGGGCAGTTAACAAGGGGTATACTCTCCATCGGCTCCAGCCTCGCCCCACCTCTGGGCCTTTGTCTCCCCACTGCTGCCCCTCCTGGTAACTGCATCATCACCAGGCTATTCAGTTGAGACCACCAGCGCAGGCCAGGTCTTCACTGATGGGTTCAAGGGCTCTGTGACCTCGACCTGGCCTGCAACATATGTTAGCTGCTAGAACCTGCACCTTTCTCTCATTTATTCCTCCTAATAATGTGATGGGCCCATTTTATAGAACAGGAAAACTGACACACAGACTGGGTTAGGCTCCAAGGTCAAAAATGACATCTAAGAGGTGAGGCCAAGGTAAAAATGGAGCCTAGGTACAGGGTGAGACCCCCAGACTCCCATCCCTTGGTTTTCCCCAAACTGCTCCAGAGCTTTTTGGCACCACACCCTATTGTTCTGGATCCTCTCTTGGAAAAAGCTTTCTCAGCCAAGGGCCGCTTATCAGCACTGAGCACCCCCAGCCCTACGCCCCATCTTGGGGACTCACCACACAGTACCAGATGACCCACGCTAGCCTCCCAGGGTACCTTCTAGAAGCATCAGTCCCAGGGTACCTTCTAGAAGGGTTGCAGACTGCAGGGGATGTGGCACCACGTCCACCAGGAGGCGATGCGGGCTGTCTGAATTGTACTGCAGCGCCCCCAGGTGGATATGGGACATCACCTGGGGTCCCAATTTTATCCTCTGCACCTGTCCCTCCCCCAGGCCTGGGTGCCGGGCTGCTAGACCTCTGCTACATTTCCCCTAAGACCCAGGGACCAGCGACTCTGGAATCACCTGGGAGATGGCTAAGAGCTACAAAATCTCAGGCATGGCCCTAGACCTACTAAGTCAAGACCAACATTTTCAAAAGATCCCTGGGTGATTATATGCAAGTTAAAACAGCACTGTTATGGTTCTAAATGTATACGTACCCACAGCACAGTGTGGCATTTACCCCACGTGGCCCAGGATGTGCAGGCTCACACTTCCTGGTCTGTTTTCTCTCAATACATGTTAAGGAAGCTCACCAGCCCCGGGGGAAAAGAGGAATACTGGACCTAGCCCCATCAGCTGCTTCTCAGCCTCCTTCACTGCCAAGCCCTGACCCGGAAGAAAAAGCTGGCTGACCTATGGCCAGATCCCGTGAGGCCAAGCAGCCAAAATCCCAGGGAAACTGCTGGAGTGTGGTTCAAAATAATAATTAATTCCCAGTGTCTTGCCCCAGGGCCAAATCAGTGAACTAAGTAACCTGGGTGGCCTAACCCAGGGTGGGAGGCTGGGTCGCGGGTGCAAGAGACCAAGGGCCCACAGAAGCTTAGAGGAGGAACGGGCAGCCAGGGCTTCTACTCAGGAGCTGGTAGCAAGCAGGTCAGAGGCTGAAACTGAGGGCCATTACTTCCCACTCGTCCAGGGCCCAGGATTCCCTCAGACAGCCCTTAACTGTGTCAGTCAGGAGCCTCCCTCTCCTAAACAGGCCCAGGTGGAGTCGCAGCCCAGAGTGGACAATGATTAACTACCTCAGGCCTTCCCCTAGGGCCTCAGCAGTGCCAACCTGACCGCCAGGCCATCAGACAGACACGGGGGCAGTGCACCTTCCCAAAGTCAGATGTGGACATTCAGGAAAAAAATCTACCGCTAGGAACTAGACCCATGGGCACTGGGGGAAGGTTCAGGCAAGGAAACCAACCAACTCTAAGTGTCCTTGGCGACGTGGGCAGCAAAAATATCCCCTTTCGATTGCATAATTCGATCATGTGATTTCATACAAAATTCCTTCTCTGTAGTCTTCATCGTCCTGGGTTTGCATGGACAGTAACTTCCCTTGCCAGCTTACTGCCACAACACACCCCCGCATCTAGAACCCGTGCCCACTGAAAGATACCCCGTGCAGTTCCTCTTCCCCCTCTGACCACTCTACCCTGACTACATGCTAAGGCCCACCTCCAGGCATGTGCTCCTGCCGCCCCCCTTCGCCTGGAAGCCCTCCCCATCCCTACCACATATCTGCTGGTTACTCAGACTTCAAAACCACATGGGTCAAGTCAGGAAGCCTTCTCTCAATACACTTCTCCAAAAAGCATCATCTGGCCCTCCTCACATAGGTAAAGAAATCCTCTTGCCTAATAATACAGTAATTTTTTCAGTATTTACTACTATATATGCAACACTTCTGTGCTTTTCCTGTATTAACTCATTTAATCTTTAAATGTGGTACAAGGGCGCCTGGGTGGCTCAGTCATTAAGCCTCTGCCTTCCGATCAGGTCATGATCCCAGGGTCCTGGGATCGAGCCCCGCATCGGGCTCCCTTGCTCAGTGGGAGGCCTGCTTCTCCCTCTCCCGCTCCCGCTCCCGCTCCCGCTCCCCCTGCTTGTGTTCCTTCTCTCGCTTTGTCTGTCAAATAAAATCTTAAAAAAAAAAAAATAAGTGTGGTACATATGATCCCTGTTTTACAGATGCACAAATTGAGGCAGACAGATTAAGCAACATAATACACACTGGACCAATGTGGCTTGTTCAAATGTTCAAATCAAGTCCCGAAAACGTTAAGAACACACAAACTTAACTACATGCTCTTGGCAACAGGAAGAAACTAGCACCAGAAACTGGTGTGTGATGGTAGATAGAAATCACCCTCACCTCTTCCCACCACTTCCTGAATACTATGGCCCCCAAGACAAGCCAACTGCTTTACCTAGTGTGATCATTCCAGTGCTAGAGAATCAACGGGCTGGGTTACCTCCCTGAAAGAGGTGGAACCTCCCTGAGGGATTTTTTCCGTGCTGGCTTAAGAACTGTGCCTTGCCACCCCACTGTTCTAACAGTTCCTGGGTCCCTACCCTAAGCTAAAGGCAGTACACAAACCACCCTTAACCCCCACCCAATCCTGAGGCAGGTCCTGTTATCAACCTGCTTTCCACAGGCTCAGATGAATTAATTAAGTCACCCAACGAGGTGGAGGAGCCAAGACTCATGCCTAGGCAGTCCAGGGCACGTGCCTTAACTGCTGTGCCTGGGACAAGGCAGTCGTGAATTCTAGTTTTAAGAACAATGCATCACCCATCCCAGGGGCTACAGGAACTTTGTGGCAGAGGGACATGATCCTCCAGCTGAGTGTTTACCTTCACAAGAGGTGATGGTTTAACCTCTTGATGCGGGGTGAACTCTGACCCTTTCCCAGAGGCTGGGGTCCGGCATGTGATTTAGGGCAGGGCAGCAATGTGGGGTGGGCTCACCCGCAAGGTTCTCCCTGCAAGGCACTGCCTCATTAGCGCAGGGTGCCTGTGTCCCAACTGAACCAGGTCAGACGTGTCCAAATGCAATGTGGCAGACAGAAGGATGGGTGGCACCCCCAATTAGACTCAGGGAGGAGGCCCAGGGACCTGCCCCCACCCCAACCCAGCTATAAAGCTGAGAAGTGACGTCATTCATTTCCTCCAGGCTGGTACCAGCAGCAGACCTATTTCACAGCACCCTGTAAATGGTAATTGCGTTAATTAAATGCACAATACAGGAAGGGGGGTTGGTGGGCATGACGGGGAAGTGGGTGGAAGGGGGGGGCCACGTGGGCATCCCTGCCCCACCCTGAGTCCCCCAGGGCTTAGAGATTTGGTGCAGGAAAAAAGGAGCTTGAAAGATATTCCCACCTACCCTATTTAAAAAAGTCCTTCTCCACAGCCTGTGGGAGGGAAATCTAGACTACTGAATCCTCCCCACCTTGACTGCTCAAGTCTTTCCCAGCTGTTCCCATTGTCCAAGATTCCAAAATAGTTGAGATGGAGCAATTACCGTGTACCTCATCCAAAGAGAGAGCTTACTCTTAGGATTCCCCCTTTCCCAGAGGAGTAAAGCTCAAGGAAACAGATGGGCAGATTGCTTGCCCAGGCTTGCACAGCAACTAAGGGATGGAGATTTAGGCCTAACCCAGGAGCCAGACCTTAAAAGACATTTTAAAACTAATATGCTAAGTACAGTTATAAAAGTGAAGCCTGGGGACACCTCACCCAGGTGAGCAGAGCGAAAGGAGGGTACCCAGGCAGTGGAAACAGTTAAGTACAAAGGTAAGGGGGCTGGAAAGAGGCTGCCCCCCTGGCTGGTGGCAGGGAACAGGGTCCCAGAATTCAGGGCCTTTGCTTGATCTTTAGGAATCTTTGCTGATTTCCAAAAATAGCCAGATTCACAGGCAAGCTGGAATGAAAAAGCCCTCAAGTCTTTCTAGAACCCCAGTCTTAGCATTTGTGAAATCAAATGACCCCACCATAATTCCCTGGGTGGTTCACGCTAGGGATCCCAAAGCGG